CGGGCGTCCTCCGCGGCTTTGCTCCGCATCTCCCTGGTCTGACCAGCAGACCAGGGAGACGGGGAGCAGCTTTTCTCACCCCGGAGAACGCGTCACTCAGGGACTGCCTGTACTGCGATATGGATTCCTATTCACTAGCACCAGGACTGGAACAGCCATTTCATCCCGTACAAGCCAGTGGTTCCCAATGGCCCATGCATTCTCAGTGATCCCTGCTGGGGGGCTGCAGGGTTCCAGACGGCTCTCCACCTGGCTGCCAGCTGTAAAACTGTTTTAAAAGAAGGCAAAATACATTCAATACTTCAGCATTTAACGTGTCAGTCATGCTTTAATATTGCTTTTCCAGGCAAGTGAAACCGATTGGTCAGTGTGGTTTTTGTGTCTCCCAGTGTGCCCAGTCCACAGAGGATATGAGTCTGTTACAGGACTCATAGGCTACATCGACGCTGCACAATTATTTCAGAATGAGCTATTCCGGAAGAAACACTCAGAAATAGCTTATTTTGAAACAGCGCATCTACACTACAGGGAAGCCTGGAAATTAGTCTAAGGCAGGCTCCCCTAATGTGGACGTGCTACCTCAGTTTAGAGCCCCAGGAAGCACTGGGGAGTAATTACTCTGAATGGCTGGGGGGAAGCAATTTCAAAATAGCAGCAGTGGAGCATCCACACTACTGCTATTCCGAAATAGCTATTTTGGAAGAGACGTAATTCCTCATGGGATGAGGTTTACAAATGCCAAAATAAGTCACCCGTTATTTCAAAATTATTTTGAAATAATGGGCTAGCTGTGTAGACACTCACATAGTTATTTCAGAATAATGAATGTTATTCCAAAATAATGCTGCAGTGTAGACGTACCCAAAGACAGCCTAGTTGTTTACCTCAAGCTGTGAAGACTTATGCTTTTAATTCTGCAGGTCCCTGGTTCAACTCATAATGTCAGCCAAGATGGTAAAGATTGCCATCCTATGTGCTCCTCTTACATCTGCTGTGGATCAGGCAGAGTGTGTGCTACAGTGCTTAGCTGCTGATCCAGGTTGTTTCACACGGGAGGTCCCTGGTTCAGTCCCTGTTGATCAAAATGGCAGCATCACGTAATCAGCTCTATATTTATCACAGGGATGTAATTCAATTATCAGTGGAAGTTAGGTGGAGAGAATCACTTAGAACAGGGGTGGTGAGCTGTTTTGGGTTGGAGGTCGCTGACCCATAGAAAAATCAGCTGGGGGGACCGCATAAAAGTGAGAAACAAAAACCAAAAAAAAAACCCCAAACCACCTCACTGACATGGCTCCTGAGAATCAGAAAGGCACTCCCTGCTTTCACCTTGCACAGCAGAGCCAAAAAGGCCCAGACTAGTAGACTTTCAGCGGGGGAGAGGGATGGACCTCCAGGCAGTACTTTACTGTGCCAGTCAAGGGAAGGAGGAGCGACAGTGTATGAAGCCGCTTTCCACCTCCAGCAGGCAAAGTCCATGGATTGGATCTGGCTCGCCTGACCCCAGCCCGCGAAGCTCAAAGCTCTTTCCCCCACAGCAGGGAGCCAGCGCTGATGCTCCAGCCCAGCGGAAGGAGCTGCCAGGGGTGGGGGCATGGAGCTGGAGCACCAGTGTGAGCTCCCCAGTTCTGGGGGGAGTCCCAAGCCTTGGGGCTGTATCCAGGCAAGCTGGGAGCTGGATCTGACCCCCAGGCCTTAGATTTCCCACCCCTGACTTAGAAGATGTGGTTGACATGTTTGACACTCCAAGGCTGTGTCCAGACTCCATGCCTCCGTCGACGGAGGCATGTAGATTAGCCAGCTCGGAAGAGGGAAATGAAGCCGCGATTATTTTAATCGCGGCTTCATTTCCCTCTTCCGAGCTGGCTAATCTACATGCCTCCGTCGACGGAGGCATGTAGATTAGCCAGCTCGGAAGAGGGAAATGAAGCCGCGATTATTTTAATCGCGGCTTCATTTCCCTCTTCCGAGCTGGCTAATCTACATGCCTCCGTCGACGGAGGCATGTAGATTAGCCAGCTCGGAAGAGGGAAATGAAGCCGCGATTATTTTAATCGCGGCTTCATTTAAATTAAAATGGCTGCCCCGATCTGCCGATCAGCTGTTTGTCGGCAGATCGGGGCAGCCCTTTAAATTTAAATGAAGCCGCGATTATTTTAATCGCGGCTTCATTTCCCTCTTCCGAGCTGGCTAATCTACATGCCTCCGTCGACGGAGGCATGGAGTCTGGACACAGCCCAAATGTAGGCCTCTGAACAGAACAGTGTCCAGCAACAGCTCTCAGTCACTAACAAATGGAGCCACATTTAACTGGTGACAGAGATGAACAGGTCATGTTGGATGAAAGGTCACTTACTGAGCAGATGGGTCTAATAAGTATTAAGGCAAAACTGAGTGAATAGTGATTAATTACTCACAAGTGGGAAGCTTATCAGAATGATCTCATCACAGTTGCCTCCAAAACTGGACGATACATCTTCAACTTCCCGTTGTTATAAAATGTATTTATAACTTTTTGTTATATTTGCTTATATGTATGAATTAGTTTCTCATTTGCATGTTAACTCTCTTCCCCCATTAGTATAGTGTTAGTTCAAACCAGTTTGTTTTAGGGTTTTAGTTACTTTAGTTTTCCTTACTTTTACAAACATAATTACGCCGCAGTTTCTGACACATACACAGTTCTACTTATGCTTATGTTCTTATGTGTTATCAGAACAAACCCTTAAAATCCACAACAGATTTCTGTCAGTCCTAAATATACCTCCACTCCCAACAGGTCAAAGTTCCATTCCATTATCAATTCTCTGTGCTAGCCTGGCCCACACCACTCAGCAATGTGAAGACAACGGTTGGGTAACTGGAGAGCTATGTAAAATTAGAACTGAATTTTTTTCAGAGGAAACAGATTAGCACTTAATTTTGGGGAACATTTTCTCCATTTTTCAGCAATTCAACTCCCTACATGAATGTTAATGAATCAACAAACAACCGAGTTGCCATTTCTGTAAGTGTGACTGTCTGCTGAAATGCTGTGTTCTTTATAGTGTGTGTATCTTTGTGTACTTGCCAGGTTTACCACGTATCCAGGAACATGTGGTTTAGAATGGAGACCAGAATGGTGAAAAATGTTTGTGCGCCAGCAGTGGTGATTGGAGACCGGATTATCATTGTTGGAGGTAACAGTTATACTAGGTCATTCATGTTTAGTTTGGAAAAAAGAAGATTAAGGGGGGACATGATAGCGGTTTTCAAATATCTAAAAGGGTGTCACAAGGAGGAAGGAGAAACTTTGTTCCTCTTGGTTTCTGAGGACAAGACAAGGAGTAATGGGCTTAAAGTGCAGCAGGGGAGGTTTAGATTGGACATTAGGAAAAAATTCCTAACTGTCAGGGTGGTCAAATATTGGAATAAATTGCCAAGGGAGTTGGTGGAATCTCCCTCGCTGGAGATATTTAAGAACAGGTTAGATAGACATCTGTCAGGGATGGTGTAGACGGAGCTTGGTCCTGCCTTGAGGGCGGGGGGCTGGACTCGATGACCTCTCGAGATCCCTTCCAGTCCTATGATTCTATGATTCTATGTCAGCTGCATAAGATTAGCTCTGATGGAATTTGATATACTTACAATGGATTCTTTACATCTTTAGTACATTGTAAGGTAACCAGCTTGCTGAGGCAATTTCCTTCATTTGAAGGGATAGTGAAATGAGGCAACATTGTCACTTACCTTTGCAGCTCACATGGGATGAAGGGGGACAACCAGCATGCCCTACTTCCCATGTGCAACACCATTAAACACCTGCATGAACATCCTCATTCAGAATTAAAGTGGCCTCAATTCAGTTTAGCTTAATTCACTGTAAACTAAGACAAATTAAGGTCTCTAATTCTGAATGAGGATGTTCATGCAGGGTTTTAATGATGTTTAACTAAACCACTTTACATTCACGCATTAGTTGCATCAGATTAACATGCCAGAATATCTCCTGTATGCAACGACTTTACCAGCAGAGGAATACCAGTATACTAGCTTCTCCCGCTATGGCAAAGTTGCAGCCTGTACCAGCAGAGTAAAACCTCCCACCAGGAGTGAAAAAAAACTATATCTATCAAAACGTAGTTTTGCCAGTATAACCGCATCTCTTCTAGGAGCTTCTGTCAGCTCAGCTATACCAGTCGCTAACCACTCACAGAGAAGACTGAGGGGTGATTTTATGGCACATTATAAGTATCTGCCAGGGGAACAAATATTTGATAATGGGCTCTTCAATTTGGCAGAAAAGATGTAACCCAATCCAATGAATGAAAGTTGAAGCTTGACCAATTCAGACTCAGAATAAGGTGCTCTATTTTAACAGTGATAGTAATTAACCATTGGAACAATTTACCAAGGATGGATTCTCCATCTCTGACAATTTTTTAAAAAGTCTGTTCCAGGAATTATTTTGGGGAAGTTCTATGGCCAGTGTTATACACTCAGGGCAAATGATCGCCCTAGTACTTTCGGAACTTGCAATCTATGAATAGCTACGCCTGCAGAAGTGTTAGGGTAAGCATGGCTTCTCTGACTTGCCCAAGATCAAACAGGAAGCCAAGCATAGAGCAGAGATTTAAACCAAGGACTCCCAAGTCCCACACTGACACCCTAACCACTAGAGCAGCATTTTTCTAACTTGGGTTATGGGGCCACCAGTATAAGCCATTGGCAGGCCACACCGCTTTGTTTACTTAATGTATCCATAGCCATGGAGCCTTGCAGCTCCCATTGGCTGGAAATGGCAAACCATAGTCAATGGGAGCTGTGAGGCTCCATGGCTATGAATATGTCTAGTAAACAAAGCAGTGAAGGACCACCAGTGGCTTACCCTGGCGGCTCCCCAACCCAAGTTTGAAAAATGCTGCACTAGAGTATCCTTCCCTTCCTGGAAACCATCGGGACTGTTCGCAGAGAAAGCTGCTACTCAAAGAAGAGAAAGACTCCAGGGCCTAAGTAAACTTTTCAGGAATAGGCCCCAAGCATAGCTGGGGAAGCAAAGCATTCTCACAACAGACTACTGTGAAGAAACAGGTGAAAAGGATTTTCATCTCTTCCCTGAAAATGTGTTTATCTGTTGCGCTTATGTTGACCCAAGCACTCTGCTAATGAGATTAAGGCTTAAACTGTGTTTAAAAATCATTAAACAAACCTTCAAAAATCCAAGCTAACATTAAACATTCTCCTTTAAAGCAGGCAGATTTCCTGCAGATAAGTTGTCAATTACCAGCAATTATGCCAAACCATTGCCTAATTATGCTGGTTTTGCAATAATTGAAATTATAAAACAAAATAATGCATTTTAAAATAACAACCCAGCATTCACCACATTTCAAGGTTTCCTTGCAAAAAGCTCAGAATGAACAAAAAGAGAACATGGTGGCTGAACACTAGGAGTCTTGGGGCTTGTCTACATGGCATTTTAAACCTCACTATTGGGATGAACATTTTAGTGCACACTAGTGTGTTGTGCACTAATTGGCCTGCATGGACCTTGCTAGCATATACTAAAAGTCTCCTACTGCATATTAGTGTAGTGCTGTTTGAAGTGGTATTTTATTAACAGGCACTAGAGGACTTTTAATATGTGCCAATGGGGGCCATGTGGGCCAGGTAGTGTGCAACAAACAAGGGCACACTAGAATTTATACCTCTCTAGCATAAACTAGTGCACCACATAGACAAGTTCCCTTTTTAGTTTGAAGCCTTCATTTTCTCCCTTGCCTACCACTTTTAACTTCTATTTGCAGTGAATACTTAGTGAGATCTTGATCAGACTTTGAGATAGAATTAGGGTTAGGCATCAGATTCTGATCTGATAGGGCCTAAAGCTCACAAGACCAGCTCCGGATATCTGGAAACTTGTGAGATGAGCTACCCTCAGAAAATCTGGGCCACCCCAAGCTGGAACTGGAAAACAGAATTCTTGCAGCTATAGGTGTGCTCAGCTCTAGGGATTTGCATCAGAATACATTCCCTACA